CGAACCCGCGGGCTCAAGCAATTCACTCACCTCAGCCTCCCAAAGGCGCAGGATTACAGGCTGAGCCACCGAGCCCGGCACATTACTTATTTTTGAAACAAGGTCTCGCTATGTTGTCCAGACTAGTCTCAAACTCCTGGCCTCAGGCAATCCTTCTGCCTCAGCCTTCCAAAGCACTGGGATTATAGGCATGAGCCACGGTACCCAGTCAGTAGTCTCTTCCAGAGCAAAGACAGAAAGTGTCCCCAGGGCACGGAGTGTGAGGACCTGGGAAACTGGAACCATCACAAGTGTGGTCCCCAAAGGGTGGCTCTGTGGCAGGATTCCCTCTGGGGCCCAGTGATCGCATCACTGCAGATTCACAGGGACTCTGCATCTTTCTCACTCTGCTCTGAGCCTCACTCACTGCCTCAGGACAAGGTCAGGGGACAGCTCCCAGGGCAGCCCAGCCTCTTGGGTGAGGCTGAGCCCCCAGCCCCACCCCCACACACCCTGGGAAATTCCACTTGCCCCAACCAACCTGGTGAAGCTGCTGCTGCAAGGCCTGATTCTCCGTCACGATGGCGATCTGGGCCTCCAGGTCCCGGTGAACTGACCTGTACCCAAAATTAGGAGAGCCAATCAGCGTGAGACAGGGCAGGCTGCTCCCTGCCAGGTACAGCCAGAGGCCTGCAGGGAAAAGGAAATGTGCAGACAGGAAATGAGCACCGCATCTGCCGGAGTCCTCGCCACACACCGTTTCAACCTAAGAGAAAAGCACCAACCTCTGGTGCCTGGGCTGAGGGGCCGCTGCAGATGGCAGACAGGCTAGCCCAGGACGCACTTTTCCATCCCAACCCTGGTGCTGTGGGAGGCACAGGATCACAGAGTCATGGCATGGCCTCATGCATGGCATGGCCTCACTGCTCTTTGCTCCTACCACTCTGCACCGTGGCCTTGTTTCTCAAGCAGGACAAGATGTGGGCTACCCAGAGGGAATGCAGTGATGCTGTCTCTCATAACCTGTCCCAGCTGCTCACTAGAGTCTCTCCAGAGTACAGGGCCGCAGATGCCCCTCTCTGAGCCGCCTCAGCACGCCCTGGCCTGCTGATGCTGCCCCTCTGCTGGATGAGTCGTTCCTTACTGCCAGCACCGAGGAAAGGAGCGCAGCAGGGTCAGCTCACAACTGCTTCTCAGGAAAGAAGCCACTGCAGTGCTCAGCACAGTGGGGGAAGGAACAATCCTCTATCCACACCAGCAGATACAAGTAACGGGCTGTCACATGGATGGCAGAGATGTTTGGTAAGAACAGGCCTGCCTGAAGGCTGGCTGCTTCACTGCAGCTCCTGGGGACATCTGTGCCCTTCCCATCTAGGGACACGCGTCTCCCTGACCCAGCCTCCCTAATTCAGGCTGCTAATATACAAAAAGGCCTGTGAAGATCAAAGGAGATTCAGGGGAGACCTCTGCCATCACAAGCCACAGGGCTCAGAGATTTCCAGGTTGGACAAGTCAATGGAGGCGAAAACTAAGGGCCCCTGTAAGCTTCTGTCACACTGAGAGAAAAGTTTCCCCTTTCTTTCACTGGGAAATGAGCCAGTTAATATTATAGTCAGAGCAAAAGCAGGGTGCAGGATGAGCACTGTGTGGCAATTGGAGCCATACCATAGGGATGCTTCTGGAACAAAGGTCGTGGGGTGCTCTCAGAATCTTGAAATGTCACCTATGATGACAACAGGCAGGCACTTGGTCCTGCACCCCATTCCATACCCTGTCCCAAGTTCCAGGGCCTGCTTTCCCAGTCCAGCCCCCATCAGAAGGACTTCTCCTAAAAAGACTATTCCCAAGACCTACCCTTCCAGAACATCTGCTCCCTGAGACTGCCCTTCTCCTCCAGTCCAGGCTCGAGCCTGGCCTCCAGACTTCCCTCTGCACTGCACCCTCACGGCACCAAGAACGCTTATCCCAGAAAATCCCACCTAACATCAGTGTGGCCTGCACTAATCCAGCCTCAAGTTCCTAGCCACATCTCTCCCCCACCAGCATGACCCTTTCAGAGGGCCCACAGATGCGCACGTCCGCCACAGGCCAGTCAACAGTATGAAACACACACCAAGCTCCTAAAATAGAAGACCGTTTCCTAATTCTCACTCAGAGCAAGAGCATTTCCAAGAACATCTTGGGCAAGAGGTGACGAGGCCCTGCTGCCTGTTCCTGTAATGGGCTCGTCCCCTCCCCAACAGAGGGCCACATCAAAGTCACTCGCTTGCCTGCGTGCCCCATTCCGTCAACGGGACCGCCCCTCGGGGCTGCTGCCTATGTCGGCAATTCACGGGACCACAGGAGTGGGCAGGCCGCCCCTTCCCTGGCTCGCCCCACTCAGGGTGGTCCCAGCAAAACAGCCGCGCCTTCCCCTCTGCATTCATGGCTTTTCATATACACAGCCTCCCTCCTACCCCCAACTGTTCCAGAACATAGAGCTGGGAGCCACAGCACAGGCCAGGAAGCCCACGGGCCTCAGACCACAGACAAGCGCTTCCTCCCACCTGCCACTGCTGGGTTCAACTCTTCTGATGACGACATTGGCCTCTTAAAAACACTAAGTAGTCTGCTCAGTGCCACTTGTCCAGCTGGCTCTCCTGAGCCCACTGAGAGGGAACAGTGAGAGTGACAAGTAGGGAGGCCACACACCCACACAGGTGACATGGATCAGGCTGAGCTATGTCACACCACCATGACTGTGTCCAACCCCAGCTCCTAGACCTCAGTCTGGTGGGGAAGGCTGGAAGTACCTGGTCCTGTGCCTACTTTTTATTTGCAAAATCCACCTGAATACTGGCTCAGGCTCTTATCAGGTAACCTAGAGGTGACTCTCAAAGGCAGGCAGTCCACCTGCAGCCCACTACTGCAACTCATCAGATACAATGACTGGTCCCAAGGTAGACTGGATACCTGTCGGTACACTGTAGGCATATCTATGCTTCAAATATAAAAATAGTAAGATTCTCCAGCTCTCCACCCCCCAAGAGACAACACCTCCCTGCCCACTGTCCTGCGAGTTCGATCACCCCACCGATTCATGACACACGCCTAGTCCTTGCCCGTCTTCTCTTCCCTGCCTCTTAGGTTGGCCTTCAGTCAAGTGCCTGGGATTAAAAGGCAGCTCACATTTCTAACCTACATGAGCACTCCACCAACTTCCCCTCTGTCTTACGTGCACTGCATTCTTTCTCCATCAAAAAGAAGGCCAGGGCTGGGCAAGGTGGCTCATGTCTAATCTCAGCACTTTGGGAAGCCAAGGTGAGAGGACTACCTGAGCCCACCAGTTCGAGACCAGCCTGGGCAATTTGGCGAGACCTCATCACTACAATAAATCAAAAATTAGCCAAGCGTGGTGGCACATGCCTGTAGTCCCAGCTACTTGGAAGGCTGAGGTGGAAGGATCACTTGAGCCCAGCAGGTCAAGGCTGCAGAGGCAGTGAATATGCCATTGCACGTCAGTCTGGGTGACACAGAGAGACTCCAACTCAAAAAAAAGAGAGAAGAAGGATGGGCAATGTGGCTCAGGCCTGTAATACCAGCACTTTAGGAGGCAGGGGTGAGAGGATTGCCTGAGCTCAGGGGACCGAGACCAGCCTGAACAACATGGTGAGACCTAGCCTGTGGTTCCAGCTACTTACAAGGCTGAGGCGGAAGGATCATCTAGCCCAACAGGTCGAGGCTGCAGTGGCTGTGAGTGTGCCACTGCACTCCAGCCTGGGTGATAGAGTGAGACTCAATTAAAAAAAAAAAAACAGCGACAACAGAGGAGGGCAACACTGATGCCTTCTGGCGAGCCCTAATGAGATGGCGAGTCAAGCACTGCCAAATCCAGAGTGACACTACAGTGCTACACGAGGTGGTACATGGTGCCCATGCCCCAGAGAGCCAAGCAAGGCCAGGGCAGCTGGAAACAACCACCTTTCTAGATCTAAGCTCCCCAAGTCAGGAATGTTCAGCCACTGGTCTGTGCCCTGAGGACAGCTGGGATGTTTCCAGCTACAGGGAGGAATCACGAAGCCTTACTGAGTTCTGTTTCACCTCCCTTGCCCTGGGTCCCAGTCAGACTTGTGCCACCAGTCAGGATGTCAGGCTACGTATACACAAGGCCAAGACTGTCAGGGCCGGGACTCACTGTCGGGAAACATTTTTCCCAGTCCAAGGCCATAAACTGGTTATCACGCCCAACTCCTCACCCTAGGCCTGACCCTTGGGCCCAACATCTCCACATTCCAGGAACCATGAGATTAGAGACTTGCAGCAGGAATGACAGCCTGGAGCAGGGAGGAAGCAGCCCTGCAGTGGAGAAAGTGCTTCCGGGAGTGGACTGACTACAGGCAGTCCAGGCAGGCAGTCCAGAGGATGGAAGGCAGCACTGCAGCCCTAAGGACCAAGGAGAGGAAGGTGCAGGGAGGGAGAGGTAGCCACCACTCCCTGAGTGCTCGCCACGGAGCAAGTGTGGCATGGGGCACCAGAGGACATGACTGGAATCCAGACCTCCGCCAATTCCCAGCTCCGGGTTTTCTCTTCAAAAAGGACACCTGCTTCTGCTCTCCTGCACACAGTCACACTGGCCTGCTGGAGGGTGAACCAGGCCTCAGCTCCCTGGCCTCCATAGCAGAGCTCCCCCGGCACTTGCCCTCATGGCCTCTGAGCCCCTGACCACAGGCCCTGCCTGCCCTCCAATCTCACTGCCCACCTCTCCCAGCCCCCATGCCATTACACAAGGCTCTTGTGGTAGTGGGGGTTTCACATTTGTTCCCTCTCCTGGACGTCCCTGTCCCAGTGGCATGAGCATCCCTCTTCACTCAGGCCTTTGCTCAAATGTCACCTCCTCAGAGAAGCCCTCCCTAAGCCCTCATCTAATAGATCCCGTCAGCCTGGAGCCTCTTCCTGCTTTGGTCTTCTCAGCTCTTTCCACTTCCCAAAATTCACTTGCTTATCGTCTACCTCCTGTGAAACTGAAGCCCTAGAAGGACAGGGAGTGAGTCTGTCTCATCCCCTGTGACCCACTCTTGAAGCCTTGAGTGATACCTGGCACACAGCAGGTACTTGGTAAGTATTTGTTTGAATTAAATAAACACAATGAGAATGATAATGGCTCTTCCAGCAAATGCAGAGTAAATTAAGTGTAAAAAAAGCTTTCTGGTTCTAAAACAGGACTGCATCAACATTTTAGGTTAGGAGCTTTTGTTAAGAATCTTTCCTAGAAAACTTCAAATTCATGAACACCTCCCTCAGACCCCACAAAGTATGCAATAATCTCAGAAGTTCTCAGTCCCCCACAAAAACAAGAAGTCAGAGGACATCCCAGTCCTACCCTCACCCAGAGAAGCCCCTGCCTGATGTGACGTCAGAGCAGCGCTGAGAAACTCTGAGGGCCTGGAGGCTGATGTGTGCTCAGCCTAAGGTGAGCAATTTGTAACCCACTCCCACCCCAGCACACCCACTGTTGCTCCCAGGTGAGAGCAGCCCACATGTGGCCCAGGCCAACAGGGTGGGGCTGCCCGACTCTCACCATCAGTTCACCTTTGGGCACCATGCCAATTGGCCTATCGGGAAGGCAATAAAAGTAGTAACATTCTCACAATCATTAACAGATTCCCCTGTCAGCGTGAGCCAGAAATCTCTTAATCCAACACCTCTGCTCCACCCTAGCCACCCACACTGTGTTGTTAAAGCTAGAATATTGCTTCCAAAAGAAACTCAAGTCAACATGTTAAAACTCATTTTCTGATTCCCTAAAACACACGCCCAAGGGCAGAGCTTGTGTCCCAGAAGATGGACACTGCATGGCACAGCCTGGGCGTGGTTCCCGCCTGCATCTGATGATGGGTTGAGCACCACCCCCTTAGGCCCTCACCTCTCCATGAAGTGGAAAGCTGAAGATATGAGAAGTGGCTCGACACAGTCCCTACTCACTCAGGTTCCCCTGAAGCTACTGCCCCTCAAGACCTCCAGATGAGTTCACTGGCACACAGCAGACACTGCACCTTCAACGACAGACCAAGCCAGCCTGCTCCTGCCCCTCCTCCACTACTGGTCAGGACCAGCACCCACTTGGACAAGTGTGTTGCGGCACATGAGGAGCTTCCCACCAGAGTCCTCGTTCTACCCTGGCTCCCAGAACCTGGTCCCACCGCACCTACTGGGCAAGGAGTGAGGGCCAAGCAACAGGAAACTGACAAACCATGACTCAGAGGAGCTGCCAGCTAGCTTGGACGCCCCCTAGCCTGCATCCCTGATGGCCCTTCTCAGTGAGGACTCTCAGAAGCCAAGGAGATACAGGGGAAGACCTCCAGCTTTAGCACCTGCCTTCAAGATTGAATCACAGGGAGAACAGCAACAAAACTCCAGGTACCAAGGCCAGAGACAGCCTGGCTCACTATCCAGCACGTGCGCTGGGGGTTCACAGTCTCTTCTCCTCCCCCTCCCTGGTGTGGCTTCAACCACACAACCCCACTCTCCTCACTGCCCCCAGGACGCCTCTCCAGGTTATTTTACAGAAACTTGAACGTGAGTCCTGTTGTCACACTCTCCAGGAGATCTAGTGCCACTGCCCCACCGTACAGGAAGGAAGTTAAACCAGGTCCCTCAACTTTTGTCAAATTTGGACTCAGAACCAGGCTATAGACTCCAAGTCTGGTAACCTCTACATCAAATCATGTTTGCACAAGGTCTTCTGAGTATTCTGAATAGCCACTCTTCAAACTTCAAATGAAAACTAAATAGATAGGCCATGCACTGTGACTCACGCCTGTAATCCCAGCACTTTGGGAGGCCAAGGCAGGAGGAATGCTTGAGTCCAGGAGTTCGAGACCAGCCTAAACAACATAGCAAGACTGCTTCTCTATAAAAATAAAAATATTAGCTGGGTGTGGTGGTGTGTGCTTGTAGTGCCAGCTATTTGAGAGGCTGAGGCAGAAAGATCACCTGAGCCCAGGAGGTTAAGTCTGTGGTGAGCCCTGATAGTGCCACTGCACTCCAGCCTGGGTGACAGATGATACTCCTACTCAGAAATAAACAAACAAGAACAAAATAGATGAATCAGATTGCAAAATAAATCTCTGGTGTGTATTTTAATTTTTGGGGGGGAGTTGGAATAGCACTCTATTGCCTAGAGATCCTTCTGCCTCAGTCTTCCAAGTAGCCAGAACTACAGGCGCGTGCTACCATGCCTGGCTAATTTTTTATTTATTAGGGGGACGAGGTCTCGCTAAGTTGTACGGGCTGGTCTTGAACTCGGGGGCTCAGGCAATCCACTCGCCTCAGCCTCCCAAAGTGCTGAAATTACAGGCTGAGCCACCAAGCCTGGCCTCTGGTACGTATCTTTAAATAGTTGTAAGGTTCTCTGGTTCTTTGAAACAGCTCAGTTTATTAAAATGTGATATATATAGATATATGTTGAAGTCTGTTAGATCAGCATAGTATACAAGATGGGTATACTCATGCTGCTAAACAGAATAAATACTATCACACAAGCATCTTTCCAACAAGGCATCCAAGCAACTGCCAGATAGTTCCGGCAACATTTGATAACACAGAAAACACTAAAGAATAAACCCTAACCCTTTGAATTTCCAGCCACCAGACGTAGTGGTCATTTCACACAAGAAGCTCGTCTCTCCCCACTGCTCCTCCTTCATCACTACACTCATGGGGCCACCAGCAAGTTCAACGCACATGCTATCCTCAAAGCCTCTTGTTGTGACTCCCAGGGAACACTGCACTGACAAATGGGGTGCTATTTGAAGTGTAAGGATCTGGAATCCACGGAGTCCTGGCTCACGCTCCTCTGCCCAAGGGCTTCTGGGAGCAGGAGCGGAGATCAGCCCAGGCCTGTGCCGAAGGAGCAATGAGGGACTCAAGGTATCAGATGCATAGGCACTGGCAGGAATTTCCTGGGCCTCAACACAGACACACTCAAACAGGCACACAGCTTGTACCCAACACAGGCCTTGCAAAGGGTAGACAGTCAAGAGACAGTCCACTGCATTCACCATCCAAACTCACCACCACCCTGCAGGCCACCCACTCACCCCTCACCTGACAAAGGCTGCTCTGGGGGATGTGACCATCAAAAGATGAGCCCCAAAAGGTGCTGCCTTGAGACCCCATTATGGATCACAGCCACAAAGTAGGGAAGGGCCCGAGCCTCTCACTCCGGCATCCAGTGGTCTCTGACCTCTAGTTCCCAGCCTTAGGGCAAGGCCCCCTCTGCTCAGCAGCAGCCCCTCCATGCACCACTCATCCCCACCCACGTCCACCCACACACACATATACACGTGCCCTGGGATCCAGCTGAAAGATCATCCGTGCCTCCCCCAATCCAGTGCTCCCAGATTACAGGGCCCCGCCCACACGGGGGGGGGGAGGGAGCGGCAGGAGCATACCAGTCCGGGAAAAGGTAAGACACACCGGAAAAGCAGGTTGGGTGTTTCTGTTTCAACGGTAACTGGGGAGTCAGCTCGGTAACTGGGGAGTCAGCTCACGTTTATCAGAGCCGCTTCAGGGAAATAACTCGCAGCAGAGTCAGAACTGACAGGCCAGGAACCTCCCAACCTGCAGGATGAGCTAAGGCACCTGAAAGGACAAGGGACCTCCTTTGTTCCAGTCAGTGGAGAGAACACTGACAGACCATGCCTCTGCACAGCTCTCCAGCGCACAGTGGTATAGGTCTGCACAGTGGTGTGGGTCCATGGTGCAGCACCTCTCCAAAACCTGAGGGTTCTCCCCACTGTGAGGCTCTTTCTGCAATACACCACCCCAGGCACTGTCATCATCCCCAGAAGTAACAAGGCCAAATAATTTCCACACACCCTCCCCACCGGCTGGCCCTGCCTGCTCCGAGACACTGACTACCACCCCGGTTCAGTCACGACACACACCAGGATGAGCCCTGTGTACAACAGAGCAGACATTTTCCATAGCAAACAATGCCGCCTGTCCAAGCAGGCCCATGGGCCTCGAAGCGGCAAGCAGGACGCACTAGACAGGCCAGAAGCTACCCATTCTGAGCTGTAACAGCAGTTAAGGTTAGGCGTCAGACTCTCCTAGGGAGTTTTCTTAAAACACCACGTTGGGTTCAACTCCCATAGAGCAAGATTCAGATGTAGGAAGGTCTGGGCTTTGGTATGTATTAAAATGTATCCCCAGCTGAAAAACATTGGTTTAAAAAGAAAAAAAAAAAACAGTTCTTCCTGAGCACTCAAAGATGACTGCAGTCTTAACACAGATGTGGCCCTGGACAGTCTGCAGCCCGGATTCCCTGCCTGGGAAGGAGGTCAACAGGCCTCTGGATGGCCCAAAGAGGAGGCAGAAACCTTCTAGGGAGCATGGGCTGAACTCCAGACACCAGTTACTCTTCTCTAGACACAGGAGCCCCCCTCCCAGGTCACGGGGCTCCCTGAGCATCAAGAAGGAAGTGTGGTCCTGCTACCAGATGAGTGGGTACCAGGATGCTGTGTACGCACAAGGTCTCAACACATTTTATCTGTGTCTCACAGAGCTGCGCCAGCAAGTATGCTCCATCCGGGCTGCCCCCATAGGATGACTACAAGGGATCATAATAAATATGCAATTCAGACTTTTACCCTAAGTGTACAGCCTCCGTTGTCTCAATATGGGGGGAAAAAGGCGAAGATTAGCATATGGGAAAAAAACAAACAGCAGTGGTAAGAAAAAGACAGGGGCTGTTCCTGCCAAATGATTCCTTGTGAATCCTCCTTGCTCCCCGAGAAGGGCATTGCCAACAAGCTGAAACTCTGATGATCCAAGCAACACTAAGTCACTTTCCTTTCCATATGTTTGAAAAGAAATTACATGTACCACATTTTCTAAAACCACCACCAAAATGATTTGACTTTCTAAGTTTTTGGTGTGTAAAAGGGAGGGGACAGCTCCCATTTCCCCAGGACGTGGGACAACTGTGGCATGCCTGCAAGGAGGCTATGACACAAACAGGAAGAAACAGGGCTCCTGACAGGCGTGCTGGGCACACCATCGCCATTAGTGCTAATCCAGAAGCCAAGAGTGGAGCCCTGCCCCACCCATTTGGTGGGCTGTCCCTGTCAGGCAGTCCTCTGGTTAGCTGCTGCGCACCTTTGGCATGAAATGTCCAGCCCCTCCGCCAGTACTCCTGCAGCTGGACCCGCTCCTGCTGTCCCAGGCTGCACACCTCACTGTAGAACTGCCGCTCGATGTGTACGTAGGCTGCCGGGATGGCACCAGCCACCCCCTTTGCCCCAAAGAAGCCATTCACCTCCGGTGAGGCCAGCAGGATCTGGTACTCAGCCCGCGTGCCCAAGACCAGGTCCATGTAGGCCTGGGTCAGATTGAAGTAGCCAGTAGTAAGGTAGACCTTCGCGCCTCGCTCAGCCTCAGTCAGCAGGGTCTCAGTGACAATCTCATCAATCTGAATCTCAAAGGGCTTCATCTGAATCAACGGATAAATCCAGGTGTCAGGGGCTGGCCTCCGATCACCAGCAGCCGCTGCATCTTCCTGGGTCAAAAGGGAGTCGCTGTGGAAGGTCTGAGCATGCAGCATTTGCTGGCGGGTCCTAGCTGAGTTGATCACATCCATGACTCTTTTATTGGCTGCCTTACAGTATGCAGCCCGGTCACCTAGAGGAAGACACGAGAAAGAGGAGTAAAGGAAAGGGAAACGAAGGATCTGGACTCTGCCCGGCTCGGGGGACACGGCACGTGATAGGCAAATGCAAATGCTACCACTGGCCATTCGCTGAACACATTCTGAGTGAGCAGGAGACACAGAACCCTGAGCAAGGCTCCACTGTAACACAGCTGCCCAAGACGAGGCCCTTGCCCACAGGAACCTATGCACAGGCAGAGGTGAAAGGCACATCCACATACAGTTTTACTTATAAAAGAAGCTCAAAAACAGGCAAGACAACTTTAGGGTGACAAATCAGAACAGTAGTTACCTTGAGGGGCAATGCCTGGGAAGAGACACAAGGGGGCCTCTAGCTGACCCACTGGGAACAGGTACATGAGCTGTACACACGTAACTGGTATTCGGTGTGCATGTTACACTCCAATGAGAAAGCTCGCATGCATGAGCTTTCTCACTGGAGTAAACCAAAACAAGAAGGAGCAAGTGTAAGCTGCAGGCAGGCGCTACAGAGAAAGCCTTAGCATGAGCATGACCAGGGGAAGCCTCCTGCACTGGTGGCAGCACATGAGAGGCCTCTGTGGGCGCAGAAAGAGCAAGCGGGCTCCAGGCCCGACAGGGGGTGCCCTTTGTAGTATTTGGATGAGACACTGGTGACAGGTGACCAGGCAGACACTGAAGGGAAAGGTGCTATTATCAGGCAAGAAAAGACTGAAAATTAATAAGCTAAGCATCCAACTCAAGAAGATAGGGGAAAGAAACAAAAGGATAAAACCAAAAATACAGTATAAGGAAGGAAATAATAAGAGCAGAAGTGACTAGCATGAAAGCAATATAAAAATGGAGAACATCAACAATGTCAAAGTTGATTCTCTGATAAAAGACTGATAGTACCGCAAGCTTTTGGCAAGGCTGATCAGGAATAAAAGTGAAATAGGCAAGGAGGGCTGTCCTGGGTCATCCTTACTGGCTGAGAGCAGGGACAGACACTTGGCACCTTTCAGGACTGGGCTTCAGAACAAAGAGAAGGACTGCAGTGTGTAGGAACCCATCCTTGTTGGCACCAGCAACTGCCAGGGAAGGAAGCAGCCACACGGCTACATGCTATCCAGGGCCACAGGAGGAAGGAACGTAGGGACCATGAGTACCCTGTCCCTCTCTGTGGACTCCCGCTGCTCCCCAAGCACAGCAGCACCTGCCATCGCCCTGCACCTGCCCAAGCATACTGACTCTCACCTTTCCCTGAGCATAGGCCTGTTTCCCCTCATATTTATGTCTGGCCTATTACGTTAGACCAGGGGTCCACAAATGCTTTCTTTAAGGGTCAAACAGTAAATATGTCACCCTTTGTGAGTCAAAAGGTAAAATCGAGGATAATGTGTAGGTACTTATATAAAAACTAGAGAAATAACAGATTGCCACAAGATTTTTATTGATGAAAGTCAAAGTACACCAGTAATAACTGAGCATCCTGGCAGCAGGCAGGGTAGTCACACGGAGCACAGCCAGGCTCAGCAGCCCATGGCTGCCCCAGCACCAAGTCAGTCAGGTCTTCTACCAGTTGGCACCACGCAGGTGCTTCTATGCTATGTTTGCAGGACGTGGGGAGCTCTTTTCCTTCCAAGGTCCAAGTTTAGTTCCCCCCTCCCCAACCTGCAGACACTGTTGCAAATTCAGCAGCAGCCCTTTAAGGGCCAAGGGAAGCCACAGCCACAGGAATCACAGGAATGCAAATGCCCCAGAACACTCTCGCCAGGACTTGCCTGTTTCCAGTGAGCAGAGTTAAGAGCTCTCCCATTTCACTTTCCAGGCAGGAGGCCACAGACCTCAAGAGAGCTGAGAGCCACAGCGCCCATGTGATAGGAGGCTTGGGGGAACTGGCCCTAGGAGGACAGTCGTTGGGCAGACTGCTTCCTGTAAGAGCAGGGCAGGTTGCTAGCTCACTCAGCCAGGCACACAGTCTCAAGCCCACACTCCCACCTTCCCAGGCCGGCCCTCGCACCCACAGAGCATGACTGATGGTCAGTGAGTCACATCTGTCTGGCTTCAGGGACAAAAGCAGAACGAGGCCCTGCCACCCAAGTCTCCTACGCCTGTGGCAAGGCCACCCAGAGGCGCGCTGTCCTGGGTCTTTACTCCCACTCCCCACCCACAACTGTGGCAGGCTGGCAGCACCAGGCCCCTACCTTTGTAAGGATGCACCATCCCGTCCACCACCTGCACTGTGTCATCCCCCTGCAGCTGCAGGGACACGTCCCCCACTGCGTCTACCAGTTCTGTGAAGAAGTCAGCAATCTCTGCACAGTCCTGCAAGAACACGTAGCGATCCTGGCGGTTGGTGAAGTAGGAGTCGCTCAGGTTTGCACTACAGGGACGGAAGAAGCAGGTGAGGACTCAGGCAAGTGTGACAGCAGCGTGTCCTGGTGACCCAGGTCTCAGGAGAACTAGCAGGGAAATGACAGACTCATCTCAGGATGCAACTAACAAAGAGCTGCTGAGCAATGACTGCGTGCAAGAGACAAAACAAGGGTGGCACTAAGGTAACACAGAAACATGAACCACAAGGCCCTTCCCCTCAAGGAGCGGACAGTCCAGTTGAGAAGAGATGTGGACACAAAAGTCAACTAATCCCACAAGACTATCTGTCAGTGCCCATGTTTTTTTTCCCCTCTGTACCACTGAGTGACAGCTGCCACTGGTACAGCTCCACATCAAGGAAGCAATCAAGGGTATTCTTCAGCCCCATCTACCAAATCTTGGTCCCACTTGTCTGGAAATGACCTGCAGAAGTGCTAAGTGGCCATGTTTTATCATCAAAAGGGCCCAGATTTCCATCTTGCCTCTGACTCTTGTGGGTTTTTCTGGCTGTGCCTGACAAAGTAATTCATCTTCTCTATCTGTTTCTGCACATACACAGTGAGGAAAATACCACACAGCAACACTGTGCAAATTAAATGAGATAGTACATGTGAGTGGCCGATCCCTGGTAAATGCCCAATCAATAGTAGCTGTCTTCCAACAGCCCCCGTGGGCTTCTAGCTTCCATGGCAGAGACAATATCACAGGAGACACCTCAAGTGCACACCAAATAGACCTGCAGTCAGGTTCCTCAAGGCTTGCGGGCTGGGTTTTCCTCGCTCCTTATTCCACCAACTTCCACACCCTGGAGAACCCAAGACAACATCACAGGCAAAAGGAAGCACACGCACCCACTCAAGATGATGTTGTTGTCAAAGAGGTACACCTTGATGTGCTGGAGGCCAATGGTCTCGTTGAAGCGCTCGGGGATAAGGAGCCGGAGAAGCCCGCGGAGGTTTGGTGTATGAAAGAGGGAGACTCGAACCTGTTCTGGAAACCTCTGCAAAAGCGGAAGCAGCATCGTGCGAGAGTTATTCCTGCCTGAATATGTGGGTACAAAGAAAAGAGACAGGTGATTCACCCTAGGAAAGATGTCCTGCCTGCAGCGAAGAACTATCCCCCACATGGGCCTCACCTTCACCTGCACTGCTCACCTGGTGCAACTTCCAGCCAGAGGACCCCTAGGCCAACTTCTGTCCTGGATGCCAGCCACATCTCAGGGCAGGCCCGGAGTGCTCGGCGTGGCAGACACTGACTGGTTTTGCCACCCAGCAGCCATCCTCCTGGTAACTACACCCAACTTACTACTAGGGTACCTGCCCCCCCTCAGCATTTCTGCTCTGGGTGGAGTTGACTCTTCCCAACCTGACCCCTCAACCCAGTTGCACAGAAGAACACACTGGTCTAGGCTGGGTCACTCAGCATGCTCCAAACCCCCAGCACAGCAATTAATTCAGCAATTAATTAACACAGGAGCTCTAGCCTGGCTCTCAGGGAGGCAGACTTTCTTGCAATGGACAAAGTGTCACAGGGATACAGGCCTCAGCTACCAGCGGCCACTACACAGAGCCTGATAATGAAGCCAGCTCCTAGGAAGCAGGGCCAGAAGATGAATCCTGCTGGCATACCCAAATCACAACCCACTCAAAGCACATCAATCACAGGAGTTTAAAAAAAAAGTCCCTTTTTTGCCTAAGTTTTGTGTGTGTGTGTGTGTGTTTTTAAGAGACAGGTTCTCAAATTAGCCGGGCGTGGTAGCGTGTGCCTGTAGTTCCAGTTTCTTGGAAGGCTGAGGCAGAAGGATCGCCGGAGCCCAGCAGGTCGAGGCTGCGGTGGCCGGGAGCGGCCATCGCACTCCATCCAGTCTGGGTGACAGAGTGAGACTCTAACTCAAAAAAAAAAGAGAGACAGGGTCTCACTATGTTGCCCATGCTGGACTTGAACTCCTGGGCTCAAGCAATCCTCATGCCTCAGCCTCCCAAGCAACTGGGATTACAGGCATGAGCCACCACACAAGGCTCCTGCCTAAATTGTTTTTATTTAGGCTGTCAGACACTTGCAGTAGAAGGAATCCTGACTTGGACAAACAGGCAGTCCTGGAACAGCCCAGGTGATCTTCAAATAACCGGTCTCTGCTTGAGAACAGGAAGGTGACAGTGTAACTCCTCAAACCAAGGACCTGAAAGAGGAAGAGCAAGGGGCCTGGGCATGTGTGCCACCTACCTCTTGAGCCCCGTGTGAAGTCCAAGAGGATGGAGACCTTGAGATCTGAAGGAAACTTTGCTTGGAGAGACTTTTCTAGAGTACTTTCCAGACAATCCACCTGTCAAGAAAGCACACAAAAGAAGAGAAGTATAAGACCCAAAAGTGTTTGTGTATTAAAAAAAAAAAAAATGATCAGGCTGGGCGCAAGTGGTTCACACCTATAATCCCGACACTTAGGGAGGCTGAGGTGAGAGAACTGCCTGAGCCCGTGAGTTCAAGACCAGCCTGGGCAACTTGGCAAGACCTCTTCTCTACAATAAATCGACAACAAATATCAACACCATAAAAGCACTCCACCTGAAACAGTCTTCTGTGATCATCAGAAGCCATCCAGTGCCCTCGCCAGCCTGGGCCTCCAGGAAGAGAATGGAGAGCTGCAGGGCAAAGGCATGCTGCCCGAGCAGGGTAGACCTTGCCACCTTGGAAACACTCTCTAAGACACCAGCTCCCACACACATTTCAACACAGACCATCCTCACAGACACACGAACAGTGACCTTCTCATGAAGAGCACTCAGTAAATATTTGCTGAATGAATGACTCTAAGACACAACCTGCCCACTGGCCATTCTCCACAGGTTGGACATTACATTCTTCCATGAGAGCAAACCTGCTTCCCAGGTTTGCAACTGAGGGTATGTCCTGCAAACAGAGGGCGGCCTTCCCGAGATGCAGAGAAGAGGGAGCAGTGCCCATGCTAGCCCACCATCTCCTCCTCCTCACTTCACTCCCCACAGCTCCCACCTGTGATTTCTGAACAGGGAACGGTCTCATTCACAGACTCACTTCAACTCACCACTAGTGCCCCAAGACCTGTGTTGGCCCTGCAATACAAGCAACACACCTTATACAATCCCGCAGACTGCTGGCTCCTTCCCATCCACAGTCGGGGATGGGGTGAGGGGGGTGAAGGCCCAAGACAGTGCGCCTCCAGGTGACCTTGCCTCAGGCGTAAGTGACAAGTGTGGCATGACAGCAAGTCCAGGTAGAACAAGGCTGGCCACAAACCTGGCACCAAACATCAGCCCTTGGCAGAACCAGCCAGCCAGCCAACCAGCACTTGGGTCCATTTGCCTAGGACAGGGTCAGAAACCCTTTTCCTTAAAGGGCCAGACAGTAAATATTTGGGGCTTTACAGGCCAGATGGTCTCTATCATAACAACTCAGTTCTGTCGTTGTAGCATGAAAGCAGCCACAAACAATACACCTATGAATGAACGTGCTGTGTTCCAATACAACTTTATGGACATAGAAATTTGAATTTCACATACTCTTCATGAGTCACAAAATATTCTTCTTTTTTTTCCCAATTATTTGAAATGTAAAAATCATTCTTGGCTCCCAAGCAACACAAAAACAGGCAGTGGGCCAACCTTTGCCTGTGGGCCGCAGTTGGCCAATTCTAGACTGGTAGAGCAGCCCAAAAAGAGTGAGGAAGACACTGGCCAGCAAGGCCAGAAAGCCCGGTGAGGCTTCCCCACACCGCTCCCCTCACTGGGCCCTCCTGACATGCCCCGTATCTAGGGCAGCGAAACAACAGCTGGCTCCGAGACAGAGGCCAAGGAAAAGCAACTCTGCACTGACTCCAAGGCACTACAAGCTGTGGCACGTCAGGGCCACTTCAATGCTGCTGTCAAGACCACCTCCCCATAAACCTTACCAGCTCCTGCTCCAAAGGACCTGTCCCCAGGTAGAGGGACGCCATCACGACTCGCCTCTTGGCCACTTGTATCTGCCCCTGAAAAAGGAGAAAAATGCAAAATTCACATGCACCATTTTCATTGTTCACTGAGAAAATACAACTTTTTGACCTTGGAGGCAAATAACATCCCAAGTTAGCCGGGCTCGGTGGCTCAGGCTGTAATCCCAGCGCTTTGGGAGGCTGAGGTGAGTGGATTGCCTGAGCCCATGGGTTCAAGACCCGCCTGGGCAACTTGGCGAGACCTCACCTCTACAATAAATCAAAAATTAGCTGGGCATGGTAGCGCGCGCCTGTTGTTCCAGCTACTTGGAAGGCTGAGGCAGAAGGATCACCAGAGCCCAGCAGGTTGAGGCTGTGGGGGCCGGGAGCGGCCACTGCACTCCAGTCGGGGCAATGGAGTGAGACTCCAACTCAAAAAAAAAAAATAACACCCCAAGCAGAATTATCCTATGTCTTAACCAATCAATATTTAAAGCAAGCCCAAAATGTGTATAGTAGCCTTTCAAATAAGGACACTCAGTGCTAATTTAAAATACTCAAGGCCAGGTGCTCACATCTATAATCCTAGCACTTTGGGACACCAAGGAGAGAGGACTGCTTGAGCCCAGGAGTTCAAAACCAGCCTAGGTAACACAGCAAGACCTCATCTCTACAAAAAAAAAGAAACAACCGAAGAAATTAGCCAGCAGTAGTGGGTACACCTGTAGTCCCAGCAACTTGGGAGGCTGAGGCGGAAAGATTGCTTGAGCCCAGGAAGTCAAGGCTGCGGTAAGCTGTGAGTGTGTCACTGCACTCCACCCTAGGTGACAGAGTAAGACTTCAACTCAAAAAATAAACACAGGTGGCTCAGCCTGTAACCCTAGCACTTTGGGAGGCCGAGGTAAGAGAATTGCCTGAGCCCAGCAGTTCAAGACCAGCCTGGAAGACTTGGTGAGACCTCGTCTCTACAATAAGTCACAAAAACTAGCTGGGCATGGTGGTGTGCGTCTACAGTTTCAGCTACTTGGAAGGTTGAGGTGAAAGGATTGCCTAAGCCCAGCAGGTTGAGGCTGCGGTAGCTGTGAGCATGCCACTGCACTCCAGCCTGGGTGACAAGAGTGAGACCCCAACTCCAAAAAAGAAATAAATAAAAATAAAAAATAAACAAAATAAAAAATAAACATAAAATAAAGTACTAAGCCTGCAAAGTAAAGTACAGTCTAAGCCTACGACAAAATGCAACAGTCATTAAAAAGAATGGAGACGAGCACTTACTGACATGAGCGTCCCAACAGATAGCTAAGAGACAAAAGCAAATGACCAAGTAGCATGCAGCCCATCTGTTTATATCCCCATGCCATGCATGCGGCTGAGACACGTGTGAGTGTGTGTCTGCAGGAGAATGGAAAATAAACCAAATTGTAGAGAGGTATCCCCGAGGAGCAGAGCTCAAAGGAAGGGGAGTATGGATGCAAACCTGTATTCTTTACTTTCTACCTATCTGCCCAATTTCTGTGGTTTATACTGAACATGTACCACTTTTGAAATGTACACAGACAGACACAAAAACAGAACATACCAACACCCAAAGACACATCAAATGAATCCTAACAGCGAGGGTCCTAAACCCCACCTCTGACACTCTAAACAGCCCCACCTGAAGAGGTGGCAAGGATAGAAAAGAATGGCAGTGCTTGCAATGGTCTGTGTGTGCATCCCAAAGGTGAGAGGGAGGGGACGATATGGCATCTTCCCTACCAGAAAGGATGTTACAGACCAGCCTGCATCAGCAACACAGGAAGAAGGGCATCTTGATGAGACAAACACATGAACATACCACTAGGAAAGGCTTACGGACAAGGAAAAAACAAAACAACTTCACAAGGTTGCTATTTCCTTTTGTTTTGTTAACTATTGAAATAAATGCTGTGGGGTAGCCGGGCTCGGTGGCTCAGCCTGTAATCCCGCGCCTTTGGGAGGCTGAGGTGAGTGAATTGCCTGAGTCCGCGGGTTTGAGACCCACCTGGACAGGCAAGACCTCATCTCTACAATAAAATAAAAAAAATTAGCCGGGCATGGTAGTGCACGCCTATAATTCCGGCTACTCGGAAGGCTGAGGTGGAAGGATCACCGAAGCCCAGCAGGTCGAGGCTGCGGTGGCTGGGAGCAGCCACTGCACTCCAGTCTGGGTGACACAGTGAGACTCCAACTCAAAAAAATAAAAAATAAAATAAAAAAACAATAAATGCTGTGGGGTGATGATTATGAAGAGAAACAATGAATGAAGTATAAGACAATTTAGTTCAGGCAATCAAAGTTTATCTGTCTACTGTAGGACACTAGGTCCTAGAGGACAATCCCAGCTGTATCAAAGGTATGGGGGCCAGACAGAAATCAGCACCGTCCTCTCTTCTTACCTGCTGCCCTGGGAACAAATTCATGCTACTCAATGTGATACAAGCCAGGAGAATCTGCCCAAGATTCAGCCCAGAAGGCTGGAAAAAGAGGCTTCAGGTTCTTTTCAGCCTGCTAGCTCAAGTTCCCCGACTCCTTCCTGGCCTCTGCAGACTCACCAACCCCAGGCAGGTGCATAGCATGGCCATGGGGAGACCACATGGAGGCATAGTCAGTCATCCTCCCAGAGCAGATCAAGACACTGAGAAGAACTGCCTTGAAAAACTTGTTTTTTCAAGCCCAGGGGAGAACCAAGTAGGAGCAAAGAGCAAACAGTTGCAGCATCATTCTACACAAACAAGGATGCACAGGACAGACAAGTGGGTGAGAGGGGAGAACAAAAGGACACACCCGTGTGTGCACATGCACAGAGAATACATTCTGGAACAAGTCAGTCAGAAATTAAGCTAAGTGTGGATCAACAGAACAAGAGGACAAAAGGAGATAAAATGGGCAGGCATTCAAATGAATGAGAGTTCATTTTCTGAACAAAGGTGAATCTCTACCTCTCCTTCCTATTATCTCCCAGAATTCTGCTTGCTTGTCCAGCCACCTCAAACCTTCATTCTAACATCATTGATAATATGAACTCAGAGTTCATGTTGTTAAAAATTAATTAGTGTTGAATTACTTCATTCCAATTAGCAGTTTAGCCAGAATAACTAGATGTGGCACGTAAACCAGAGTAACATGTTGAAAGTTGAACCCCCAAATGCAAAGTTTCCAACACTACCAGGAAAGGGAAGGCACACACTCAAGACAGAATCCCTACAGACCCAAGACTATGAGACCTAACACCAGGACGTCCAAACTCCCCAGTTGTCCTGAAAGGCCTCTTCATATGGATCAAATCCCACCGTGGGCCTTCCCTTCCTATGAATTGCATCTACCAAGATGACACTACTGTGTTGGGAAATGTTTCCAGGGGCAGAGGTCATCGTGCATAGACTAGAAAAAGGTTTGCTCCTCCCCATCATCTTTAGCAAGGACAAACCTATGTGGTACACACATCCTCACTAACCTCCTTTCTAGTGGCCCGCAACTTCGATGTGAAACAAAGAGAATCCACGTGTCCACAAGAATCAAAGTCTAGGCCCTTGTCCTCACTGGTCCCTTCTCTGAGCTTCTCCACTTGAGATGCTAGCCCCATAGGTAAACATCGGCTGGTGGCTCAGCTTTAACATCCATGCAGCTAACACCTAACAGGTAGGCTCCAGAAGGAGTAAGCCTCTAGAACAGGAGGTACCCATAACTCACCAACACAATCCCCTAAAACCTCTAACTCAAATTTCTTTCCTTCAGACACAAGTTACCTTCATGAGCTCGAAAAACTCTGCCGGGGAAGAAAGTACCCTGACATGTGAGCTGGAGACGCCGAACTCTGGAACCAGGTTTCTGATCCACTGGAACCTGTGCACGCCCTCTGGACAGAGGCAGCAAGGCGGGGAGGTGACCTGGGGAACAGTTGGGGACAGCAAGGGAGCCAGTAACAGCCATGGTGACCTGGTTAAAGAAAATAAGCAAATGGGTTATACTTCAAACACTTCTGCAGAGGCCTCTCTCAGTTACTGAAGGGTGGGGAGGGGGACTGGAAGTGGGGCTTTTGTGGCTAATTTCAGATTTTCCAAAATGTGTTTTAAGGTACGCCCAAGTCAAGCTCTGCAAAAGGGTTTTTCCTTCAGCCCTCCTTCCTTCCGTCTTGAGCAACTTGAGAAGTGGAAATGCCTATGGATAAATTCAAATTTCAAATTGATTCCAAATAACTCAGGGACTGTTTGTTTATTCATTCATTCATTTATTTATTTATTTGAGTTGGAATTTCACTCTGTTGTCTAGGCTGGAGTGCAGTGACATGCTCACTGCCATCGCAGCCTCCACCTGCTGGGCTCAGGCGATCCTTCCACCTTAGCCTTCCAAGTAGCTGGAACTACAGGCATGTGCCACCACATCCAGCTAATTTTCTGATTTTTCTGTAGAGATGAGGTCTCACCAAGTTGCCCAGGGTGGTCTCAAACCTCTGGGCTTAGGCAATCCTCTCGCTCGGCCTCCCAAAGTGCTGGGATTACAGGCTTGAGCCAACACACCCAGCAGGGAACAAATTTAAAGCAGCCACAAGTAAACTCACAAAAGTCACCTCATGGTTAACACTGTCACTTTCTAACAAATACATCTCTAAAACATTTGCCTGCAGACAGCCATCGAAAGATATCTGGAAGGGGAAGTCTGGCAGAAGCCTGATGATTACAATTAAGGCCCTCCCATTCTATGACTCATGAGATAAATAAGGTTTCTCATGAGATAAACAGGGTTTCTATACAAAGGACCCAGGAAAATAAATAGTTCTAAAACTAAAATTTGGAGAAAAAAAGGAGCTCATTTCAAGAGTAACGGAGAGAAGTGCTCCTTCACTGTCAGACACATTCTCTCTGAGGGTCACACCCCATCTCTAGCTAGCACTAGCTTGACCTCATAAAGCTGCATCCCAGGCAGACTCCACAGCCCCACTGAGGTTGAGACTGGAGGAGACAGATGCAGTTCTGCCCATGGAACTACAGCTCTGCTGTTCAGTACAGAAACGCCTGTGGGGGACAGGGGAAAAGGGGCAGCACACCCAGAGCCTCACACAAGCCCAAGCCTACTTTGAATTCCAGTCCTGCAAACAGCAGCAGGAAAATCCTCTTCTGTGTGTGACCTCAAGAGGGACTCTGGGGAGAGGACGCTCAAACACCCCAAGGCCTGAATGGTCACAAATTCCAGGAAGATGATTTCACTTGCTTGCTTCATGATAAAGCGTTGAATCTTCCCAGGGTTCACAAATGTCCCAGCACAGGCGCCAGATGGCCCACAGCTGCACTTCCCAGAAAGCCCACCAGTCTGTCATGGCCAATTCACTGCCAAGAAAACTTTAGTCAACAGCAGAAGGTGCTAGCTCTCTGAATCCTGGAAGTTTGGGATTGGCCTTGGCCACCCAGTACAGAGGTGGGGAAGCAGCTATCCTCACCCACTGTCTCTGGAGGGGTGATGACAGCCAGGGGCAACAGCTTGCAAATGAAAGGCCTAGACCAGAGGTGTGAACAAGGGATTGCTACTTGATCTTCCAAACCACAGGCCACAATCCTGCCGTGCTGGAGAAAGGAGAGGGAAAGATCCTTCAGTCCAGCAAGAAAACATGAGACAGCGGAAAAGGCGTACAGCAACCTATCAATCCGAAGCCCCAAAAGGGGCCTGAAGCCAAAAATTCATTAATAAAACGTGGTCTGTTTGTGGGGGAAAGATCAATGTCTCTCCTGCCTCGCAGCACTTCTGCCATCTCAGCCCACACGAGAAATAACCAGGCGCCACCTGCGCCGCTACAGGCCACACAGTCAGTTCTCAAACAGCCTTCACAGGATCCCAGAGATGTGAATCAGCTCCCCAAAAGGAAGATGAGGACGCACTCATTGGCACACAGCAACCCAGAAAAGGGCAAGCGTCAACTTAAGCATTCATCCAAATCATCACAGAAGCACCCAGGATGTATCGTGGAGCATACAAATAACGAGGTGCCATCTCTGCCTTTCACACCCTTGGTGGCCTCACAGACTTACACACCTGAAATCATCTAAGAACAACAACACGAGAAGAAATGCCAAATCCCATCAATGTCAAAACAGAGTGCACGTGCTTCAAGTGCTCGAAAAGGGGAGCTGGTGATGCCTGGGCTATTGGGCAGAACTTATAGCATCCTGCCTCTGGAAAACTGGTCAAATTCAAACAGGGAATGCACAAAGGGGAGGATGCTCCAGGCAAGGAGAAGTGTGAACAAATGTAAACAGAGACTGGCAAAAACTACCCTCGACCCAAAGGGCCTCAACAGTCAGTCCAGAAAACAATACAGATGTGTGCGTGCATATACGCACACATACAGAGTCCACACCGGTGTCATGGTCTACCCATCACCTCCATCCTGTCTGGGAGAGAGCCACTCTGGCAGGCACCAGGCTGATGAGCCTGGATACCCTGGGGCTATCCTAAGCAGGTCTCTTCCCTACCAGGCAGCTCTCCCTGGGAATGTTCCACCAGGGACTCAGTCCAAGAGTTGTTGAAGGTTTTTTTATGTTGGCTTCCTGTTTAATCTTGTGTACTGACAGGTTTATTTTTGTTAGAGAGGAGAAGGAGCTGAAAGCCAATCAGATTTCAGGATACATTGTGGAGAAGACCCAACTTCAAGTGGCAATTATATATACCCCAAAATGAGCAAAGTTAAAGGTCCCACAATTACAACACACGCCAAGGAGACAACATCTAGTCTGGCGACACTCAAAAATCTCACAGAAGCACGCTGGCCACGGTAGGAAGAGCCAATTCCCATTCTGACCCACAGTGCTGACTTCTCCAGGACCTGCTCAGGGGCCCTTTCTTTCTCTTTCACATCAGCCAGAATCCCACCGGGGGTTAGTTCCCGGCTTTCCACAACACAACTCCTGGGAATTCTCTCAGAAAAGGCTTATCTCCATGCTAGCAGCAGCCCCCACTGCAAAGTAATTCCAGTCTCCAGGGGCTGACCACCTGCAGGAGCAATTCCCCTCACCCCAGGGAGGTTTACTAAGAAACCACATGTCCCAGCCAAAAAACTAAGCCCCAAGAGATTTGAGGAGGCAGAGAGGCTGTGGTTACTTTACCAAAAAAGCCTAGTTATATGTCACATTCACCATTTAGAGAACTAAACCAGTACACACACAATTTCCACATCTAGACTGGGCTGCCCTGAATCATCTTTCTAGATACCATCTAGCTCCCGGTTCTAGTTATAAGAAGGAGGAAGTGGTGGGGGTGGGGAGTTAGAGAGTAAGATTCTGCCACCCTTGCCCCTCTGAAGGCCCACTCCTTGATTCTGGAATACTGGGAAAGTTTAAGAACAGGGCAAGCTGGGCTCGGTGGCTCAGCCTGTAATCCCGCGCCTTTGGAAGGCTGAGGTGTGTGGACTGCCTGAGCCCGCGGGTTCAAGACCCGCCTGGGCAACTTGGCGAAACCTCATCTCTACAATAAAAATCACAAAATTAGCCGGGCGTGGTAGCGCGTGCCTGTAGTTCCAGCTACTCGGAAGGCAGAGGCGGAAGGATCACCGGAGCCCAGCAAGTCGAGGCTGCAGTGGCCGGGAGTAGCCACTGCACTCCAGGCTGGGCGGCAGAGTGAGACTCCAACTAAAAAAAAAAAAAAGAAAAAGAAAAAGAACAGGGCAAGAGCAGGTGGCCCTCCACATCACCAGCACCCCAGGACTCACAATCAGACAAGCTGCACTACTTCACCACACAAACCCCAGCAATAACCAAAGCAAATGAACAAATGATGTGAAACACTCCACAGTCTGCAACCATGAAGATGAATTGGGACAACTGGGAGCAGCATCCTCTCAGATTCAACCTGGCTTCAGCCACTGCACACAGGACATCTGACTCTGGGTAAGGGGCCAGTCATGTGATTTAAGGCTTCCCACGGACTACTCAGACAAATTCCTGAACTGAAAAGTAGGCTGGGCCTAAGTGCTGAGGCCCTGACCTGGGGCCCATTCCTCTACCAAGAGAGGGGGCCTGGATGAGTGGGTAGAAGGAAGGGAGCCGAGTTCATTGGGGAGGAGAGGGAAGTTTCTTCCCACATCTCAAGAAAGATTACCACCAGAACTGCACTGACCAAACCGTGAGTACACAGACCCTCTTGCCCCTGAGCCCCAGTACTGGGCTGCCACTATGCAAGTGCAAAAGCTTGCCTGGTCCATCAGGTGGTACTAGGCAGGTTGATGTACCCCCCCACACACACACACCCACGAGAGACACAGGATCCCAGTAGGGCCCAAGCTCAGAAGAATCAGCCAAACTGAAACAGTGAGAGCAGACACAGCTGAAATGCTACAAACACCCGTTTCCAAAAGCCACCTTGGGAGGAAGAGAAGGCACTTCTGCTTTTTGTGGAGAGACAGTTGTTTTCCATCCCACCCAACATGCTGAAGCAGTGTGTGCTTTGTAGAGAGACACTGGCACACCTTGCCTTTCTCCTCTGGATGTGCAGCAGTGTGCCTGGGGTCCCAGCAGGCCCCCACATTCTCAGTGGAGGGACATCAGTGGAGAGAGGCAAATGCCAGAGAATGACACCTTGGTCTACATATCACCTTTAGGTGTCCTTTCCACATCTTCTTCAGTGCCAGAGAACACGTGTCTGCTTCCCCTGGAGCTGCAGTACCTACTGCACCCACTACTAATGGGATACAAGTTTAGGCCACCTTCTTGGGATTTTCAACAAAGAGTATGTGGGGCTTCAAATAAAGAGTATGGTAAAGCTGGGGGACTGTCTTCAGACTCTACCACAAATCCACAACAGACAGGAGTCACATCCTCTGTACCAAACACACGGTTTCAAGACGTGGTCTATAGATCCATGAGCTTGTCTGAAACAATAAGATAAGATTCGAGGTACAGACTCTGTGGCCTGGATCCCATCCAAATCTGTAGAAAACGATGAACCAAGAA